ACCCAAAAATTTTAAGAGATGAAAGATATTGCCTTCTATGCAACAATAATAAAGTTGAAACAGAACAACACATGATTTTTGAATGCCCAATTTATCACTGGACGAAAAAATGTATTCACACTAGGTGTGAATATGGTGTGAATTTAGATGACTATATTTGCATCAGTTTTACACACTAGTGTAAATATGATGTTCACGATAGACCGCAAATCTGGTGTAAAACCAACGATAATATGATATTCACATTGTATTTGCGGCGTGCGAATATGGAGGTGAATTTCAAGTTTACACTAGTGTAAATATGATGTGAATGTCTATTTTTGGCCATCTTATAAAGTGCATGTTATAAGATATCTTTCGTTACATCTTTATGTGCACAAAAACAGAACTGCCAAATCAAATTGGTATTTTCGAATAAATTATTTTGAGGAAATTTTAAAGTAAAGTTGTCATGATTTTTATATGATTAGTTAGTTTCAATGTACTTTTTAGAAAGCGCGAAGTTTATTCAAGTAATATATATTTTTACATGATTTCGATTTACCTCTTAATTTTCTTTTACCGGTTCGTTTTGATTTGAGTTTTTTTAATGTGATATGGTATTCCTTTGTCGAAAAGATTCGCATTGCATGATGGGATAGCATCATTCACAAAACAAACAAAGTCGTCTAGCTACACGTGAGCTACAAATTTTGTCCCTTTCTTGTGTGAGGTAAGTTTTTGATCTTCTATGTTATTTAATATACTACGTGTAGACTATCTATAATGTAAAAGACGTCACTTGAAATAATGTTAATATGTCGAAAAAACTGATCTGACAAAATCGAATACTCCAGCTTTATTGATCTCTTTTTAAAATACTCAATGTTTAACAGACTTTAACATCGAAACCACAAGAAACTGTGTAATATTTTCTTTTATAGTAACACAGCCCGTGTACACGTATGAGATCAGTTGGTATAAAAAAATGAAAATGTTTTGTAAATCTTTGCATATTTTACACTCAATCATTGATAAAGGGATCTCAAAATTGGAGTTTTCTCATGCACATGCACAGTTCATGTCATATTATGTTCTAATATTCATAAATAAAAGTTAAATAACTCGGAAATTGAAAGTTCATGTTTTGATTGAGCCTTAGAATAATTTTTTGTCTGTTAAATTATTGTCATGATAGTAAATATATGTATAGCGGCACAACCACAGATGCAAGCACTAGAGGTTTTATTTCATTCTTTTGACAACCAGACTCAAAGACCAGTATTTTTTATGATTGTTATAGGTTTAAAAGATGGGGAAACACAGGAGTGAGTCTAGAAAAAGTTATATCAAGAGAAGAAAAAGAAATAGAAAAGAGGCAGCCCATCATGTACAAGAGTGTGCTAGGGAGCCAGAGCCTGAGACAAGAAAACAACTGTCAAGGGAGGAGGAGATGGAGGAAAGATTCAATAATGACCCTTTGTACAAAGGATTTTTGCAATATAACCATTTTAAATCCAAACTATTGTGGCTAGAAAGAAAGTCAACATTTGACTAAGGTAAGGTTTGTGCGCAAATAATATTTGAATCAGAGGGACGACAGTGATTATCATTCAATAGCAAAAACAACTCTAAAAGAGTATTAAATTCTACATTAACAGGACTGTAAATATATTATAACTATTACAGTCAGTTTAATCTTCTCTTAAAGTCTGTATGGTAACTATTGCAGTCAGTTAACCACTCATATGAAGACCACTCTAAAATATTGTAAAAATATCCATTAACAATAATAATCATAACTTCAATCACTCAAGACTCTGAATGGTTTTGTCATTTAAACACAGAAGGAAAATGAGCACAAATAACTGCTCATTCATAATTTATTCATCAGTACATGATTATTATTTCAAGATTAATTAAGCATTCTCACTATGAGAGGACAAAGACAGACAAAGCTCACCATATAATAAATTTTTTGCATACAGTATTACAAGCAAGCAGCCCTGGTGGACAAATCAACAGAGATGATCCAAAACACAACAATTTGAAAACAGCTACAACAATAAATCACATACAAACTCAAGATTCATAATTTTTTGATGTGTATTTGAAATAATGTCTAATAGATGATATCATATTTTGATTTAAGATGCATGCAGTTGTAATGTTGTAAATTCTGTACAATAAAAACCTGTTTTGCTGTTTAGCTTTAATATTATCTTCAAAAGTTTTTAGCAGTGTGGCAACAGAAAGCAGTGTCATCAAGACAATTTGGGACTACCAACCAATCATATTGCAGCTTTTAGCTGAGTTTTTTTTATCAGCATTGGAACAATTTGATTTGATTGGTCAATGCTGTTGTCAATTTGTGTGGTTTTTGCTGTTTTTGATTGGTTGGCTATATTCATATGTTCCTGGTTTAAGTGGCCACACTATAAATGTATACTATAATATATTTTGTCAGGCCTATGAAACTAACTCGAAGGTAAATAAGGCATAATTACAGAGCAGACACTCTAATAGGTCTCAAAAATCAAAAGACTTTGAAATACATTGTATCCATATCATCATTGTGCCTAAAAACTATATACCATTTGATTGATTGTCAACTAAGTGAACCCACTTACTGTGTCTGCACTGTAATCCTATTGCCCCAAGGGTGAATGAACTACAGTATGTATTTTGCTTTCTAAAATATTTATCTATATTGCTATTTAAGAAACTACAGGTAGTTGCAGTTTAACTGATGACAAATGAACAAAGCTTAACATAAAGAATGACTTTAGTAGTAGTAATTACCCTTTAACCTTTGGATGTTATAGAGTTTGGTTGTTTCAACACTTAATTTATTCACATTGTTCAGTCAATAGCATTTCTCAAAAAAGAGAAAAGTATAGCAATTAACTTAATGTTGAATTTCAGTTATAATCATAAAATGATGTAAGGTTATTAAACAAATTGATGGTGTAAAGAACACAAATTGCAGATGTTGTTTATATGTATCTAGTGTCTTGTAGACAGAAAAATATTGTGCAAAGTTTAATAGAAATCCAGACTTGAACTAAATGAACTTTAGTAAACCAATACATATACAAATGCAATTATATCCATACCATTACTGAGTAACAACAATCAAAGTTCTTTGAATCAGCATTGGAGGTGTTTTGTCATTGGACAGACAACAAGAACAGTTTCATGATCAATCACTTGGTAAGCTGGAACAAACTTGCCATAGAGTCTTTGGAGAGGGATAAAATTAGCTGGGCCTTCACAATCAAAATCTCTACACCAGACCTCAATAGGAACACCTAGTTTGTGTCTTTTTGGGTGCTGTTGGTACCACTTCACTTCAGCCAGTATATATGTTGAGTGATGACCATCAACCATGACATTTTGCCGGATAAACTGCTGAACAACACCAGGTCGCACGTTGGCACCACTTGTGTCGACCCTACCATTGAAGCCACACCACGCTGCTAGAACATATGAAGACCTCTTATGTCTTGAGTTGAATGAGCCAAAGATTTCACCAGCTATATTTACAGCAGAGACCAATTCACAATGAATTGTCACTGTAGTGGTATCTACATTATCTAGGAAGGCTTGATATGAGTCCTTGAGGTCAGGAAGAGAGTTGCTACTTATGCTGTACTTGTAAATAGGATTAAGAAGGTTAATAAATGATTCTTGGACTGAAAATGCCCAAAAGTTCCCCTTCCTTACTGGACCAATGGAAAGCATGCTTTGTTTAATAACTTGACATGAAGAACTGTTACTGGTTGTCACACGGAGAGTTCCTGAAGAAGATGATGTCATTTTTTTCAAAATAGGACCAAAATATTCATCAAATGCTGTAGGAGGACTGAGAGCTTTTACATATTGTTCAGATAAAAATTTTCGCATGATTTGAATCTCAACTGATCTTTGGTTAGTTGAAAACTCTCCTAAAATGCCATTCAATCTCTCAAAGCTAAAGAGCCAGAAGGAGTATACTGGCCCAAAATCCATTATACACTCGAGAATGTGCATATGCAAATGCATATTTGGCGTCACCTTGTCCGGTCCATAATGTTTTTCAAAGTCTTGACAAAACTTCATGAGATGGTAGTGTCCTAATCTAGCTTTAGTTTCAGTAATGATGGGTGTACACAAGAAACTACAAGCTAAAACAAAACTGCGCCACACCTCTAAATCTTGGTTTGGTAAAATGTCCCACAAAGAAAAGATAGAATAGATGATTGTCCAAACTTTCCATTGATCAGCAGTAAATCCTCCGTAGGAGTTGACTATCTTCTTTGGAAGTCTGCCAACACTTGATGGCACATCAATCTTGTCAATCTTTTTTTGAATATTTTCAAGATCTTTTTTTTCTATTATTGGAGAAGAGCTTTCCAGCCAAATGTTACGCATGACATGTTTTGCTGTTCCTGTGAATAAATTATGCATAGGATCAATAATGTGGAATCTGACACAATCAAAGTATGGCAGCATCATGAGCTCAGTGTATCGTGTTCCATATTGTTGTTCTTTAGTATTTCTATCACTTTGAGATGTTTGCTTCAAAATGTCTTCAGCCTGCTGCCGATGTTCAAAATTTGTTCTTGGTGAACAAGGTTCAAACCCAGAAAAGTCCATTCTCTCAGAGACATTTCCAGTGAAAACCTTCTTGCATTTTGAACACCCGTGACAAGAAGAATGTCCAGTAAAACCGCAAACTTTTCTTGCAGCAGGAATATCACATCCAACACATAGTAGGGCTGCACGGAATGTGTCATTGCTTTCGACCTTTAGTTGTACTCCCTGCCAAAGTGTGTTAAGTTCTTCAACAAGGGGTTTCAGATAGGAGTTGATATTTAATTTAGGCTCATGAGGCCCTGGTATAATGCCTACAAGAATAACATTTTCTGTCTTGAATCTAAGTTCTCTTGGTAAGTTCATGAAAACCATATACAAAGCACCCACACTATAAATTGAATGTTTGAATGGTTGAAACCAATCTACGTTAAGCATCAATGCATAGTTCCTTGGTTCTGCCAGAAAGGGCTTTCCTTCAATATACATAAAATCTTTCCACACTTTGCCATCAAAGACATCAGCAAGGAAACCCTTTGGTATGTTCCTCTTTCGCCACAATTCACAATTAGCCATGAATGTTGGTTTGTTCACTAATCTTTTCAAGCTCTCTAGGATACTATTATAACAGTATACTTTTAAGGGGTAAAGTCTTTTTTTACCATTTTTGAGAAGTACTTCCTTTAAAAGAGGCTGGCCACAAGGAGTTCTTCTAAACAGCTGCCTGTGGTTTTGCTGACTAACAAATGAACAATTGTTTATCACTGTTCTGCCTAGCCATTCCTTGTGGCAGTCAGCAAACCTGTATAAAGTTCCACATTTGGTACAAACAACATATTTTGTAAAGTTGTCTCTTTTCAAACCAAGTTTATTCTTAAGTAAAGTAAGAGACTTTGGAAATATTAATGCCAAGCCAGCAATTGTTGGAAATATGGTACCAAGTGATTTGAAAGCAGCATATATAAAGTTTATAAGAATGTCAAGTGCATAGTCTGAAATACAACAGTATGATGACCAAGCACAGAGAAAAATCATCACCCATCTCACAAGGAGCACCAACTTTCCATCTCTTATGTCGTGGTATGGGATGGAAAGCCTTGGATCTTGTTCACCATCAAAATCAAACTCCACTTCATTTTCATCTAAGTCCCAAACTTCAATGTTGTTTAGATTCCTTTCCATGTAAATCCAGTCTTCATCTTGATGCTCCATACCATCTTGTCCTGTTAGCCTTATATCTTCTTCCTCAAGCTCATTAATGACAGCACCTACAGTGATTATGTATGACATAAGAATACAGTAGAAATAATATTTCAGCATTACACTGTCCTAAGTGACACTAGCTTACTTACAGCATACAGATCGAACACACGCATGCCATCACTATTACTGATTGAGAAAGACTAGCTTACTTACAGCATACAGATCGAA